GCCAGAAGGTGAACCCAGGTGTGTTGGAACCAAAGCCCAGGTCTGTGGCTGCCCCAGGTGGGCTCCCAGGACCCAGCCTCTCCAGGGGAGACGGGAGCAGGTATCCCCAGTTCCATCTCAGGGAGAAGTGGCGGAGAGGGAGGGGGCCAGGGACCAAGCCTCTGCCTGAGAACCTCCCGGAGCTTGGAGAAGGGCTGTGTTGGTGGAAGGGCTAGGAAGGAAGTGTGACTGTGGAACCCTCCAGCCGGAGACGGAAGCACTTACACGACTTTCTGAATGCCCGTGGCAGTGAACGTCAGGCCTTTCAGTTGGACTATGGGGTCCACCAGGTGCCGAGGATTCCGGCTGGTCTGGAATTCCGTGAAGGTAAAGTGGGTCTCGAGGAGGTTGGAGTACTGCATCAGCGAGAACTGCAAGGCCAAGAGGAGGGGCCATGGGGCTCAGAGGATGCGTGGCTGTTGATGTTTCAAATAGAGGTCCACGTTGGGAATTGTTTTGGATATGCAACTCTTTCCTGTGTGGTTTTGAGCCCTTCTAAAAGACCAGATGGAAATGAAGCAAATAAAAAACGAATTGGCCCAGAGACACAGAAGGAAAGCTAGACACTCAATGCAAAGGATGCTTCTCACACGAGCTGAAAGACCTCATGTTGTTCACCCCAAAGATAGTGAAGGAGGGAGCATTTTTATGACCTAATATTCATGTGTCGATTACAGTTCCTCACGTCTCAAGCATGCTTGGGAAAGGAAACACGCTGAATCAGGTAAAGAAATCAGGAGTTTCATAGGGGAAGAAAAAAACCCCCCAACTTAAGGAATCATCTGTCTTTTGACTGAGTGACCCTTAGCCCAATTTCTTCAACAAAATTATTTTGAAACCATCGTCATATTCTTCATGATGTAGGTAAATATGACCCGTCACCACGGCTTATGAAGGTCTCCCGCTGGGCCTGGGCCAGAACGCACAGGCTTCCTTGAGACCCAGGCCATCCTCTCAGGAAGCTGCAACACCACCGAGCTGTTCCCATACTTGTCTCCACCCCAACCCCTCTCCACTCCCCGCCCACAAGCCCCCCTACACCAGGCTTCCCTCCCAGCGCGGCCTCCCCCACCCCACCCCCTAGGCCTCAGGTGCCCAGTGTTCACCAAGACGTTGGTGCCCTCAAACTGGCCCATCACGGCTTTGACAAAGTCCTTCATCCGGTCAAAGTCATTTCCACCGATGCTGGTAGAGCCGTCAATCAGGAAGACGATATCCATAACTTGATTCGGACACTCTGCAGGAAGGGAAGGGGCAATCAGAGGGACACACGGGGGTCCTGTCGTCTCCTGGGGTCCCTGCGACACTTCTAGGTCAACAGAGTCAACTTCTCGGCATGCAGCCTCTGCCAGGGCGCAAGAAGACCCCAAAGTCAAGCACAGTCAATGCCGCTCATAGAGACCCCGGAGGACACGGTCCTACTTCTTGGAAGGAGTAAGGCCAGAGTGCTCCTTAGAGGCAAGGGTGGGGAGATCTCATCTCACGTCCTTTGGACGTGTGGTCAGCAGAGAGCAGTCCCTGGGGAAGGGCGTCCTGCTTGGTAAAGGAGGAGAGGAGCGGGAAAGA